CATATATATTTGCTCTGTCGAGCTGCTCAATGAAATTCCTACGGTTTTGTAGTGACATTTCGATGACTTCCAAATGACTTTCGATGATATTTAGTGATATAATTAATACTATTATACATTTTATATTATATGTGAATTAAGAATGTTAGTGAATTTTCACTGCTATTACGAACCAAAAATATTTGGGTTTAATCCCACTTTGCATCCTTGAAATCTTTATTTTGGCACTTTGCACCCTAAAAAAAGTTAATAGCAATTTGCATCCTCGAAACACAATAAATCATTCACGATGCATCCTGAATTGAATATTTAAAATTTAATGAGGTCAATTTTAGTTTTTGGCAAAATGAGTTTTTTAGTCCTGTAAGTTTGCTAGTTGAGAGTTTTAGTCCACCATGTTTAAAAAACAGAATTTTAGTCCTGTAAGTTACAAAAGTTGAGAATTTTGGTCCTATGACCTGCTATAACAGGTAATGTGATGGTTGGTTGAATGAATTGGCATTTAAAATATAAAAATAAATAGATTAAAAATAAATTAGGTGATGTAGCTAATGAGTTGGAAGGTTTTGGAGAAAAAATTAATCCTCAATGTCAAATTCACCAAAATAATGAGGAAATTATAACATATTAAATATTAATTATATATTTAATTCTTTTTGTTATATTTGCAATAAAGAAGCACAATTAACCCATTGAATAAAATCTACAACTATATTTTTATGAAGAAAATTAGACTAACTAATGTTTAATTAATATTTCTTAGTTTTTATTTGTTAAAAATAATAATTAAATTCATATTTATCTAAATATTTCATTTTTTTACAAATCTATACTTAGTTATACAATGAAATTAAACCAACAATCAAATTCAACATAAAACCGGAAAAAAAAAACATTTTATTAAACGTTGTTGTAAAGTTAAATGACATGCACAATCATAATTAGTATAAGAAATCAAATCACATTTACGAATTAACCAAAAAAATAATAAAATATATTCAAAACTCTATTAAATTAAATGTACCAAAAAGGTATTCTAGAGCCTCCAAACATAAAATACATTATCAAACCAAGAGTAACAAATATCCATAACGAGTAATAAAATATAGTTAATTACTATTTTTATCAATTGAAAATTATATGAAATATTAATTAAAAAATAGTTACTACAAAAATGCTTAATTCATTCATCAAATAAAAATAATTTGATGGTATATTTTATTTTCTTCCAAAATTGTCCAACTCATTAGCCACGTCACCTAATTTATTTTTAATCTATTTGTTTTTATATTTTAAATGCCAACTCATTCAACCAACCATCACATTACCTGTTATAGCATGTCACAGGACCAAAATTCTCAACTTTTGTAACTTACAGGACTAAAATTCTGATTTTGAAACATGGTGGACTAAAACTCTCAACTTGCAAACTTACAAGACTAAAAAACTCATTTTGCCTTAGTTTTTCTTAGATTTTTTTTCATGGTGCAAATAACAAATTAAATTGTTATTTTCTATTCTCCAACCTAATTTCGAACATAAGTACAAAAAAAGAAAATCGCACTAACTTACTTAAAAACTATATTTTCCATGTCTTTTCTTTTGTAAAATATTTTTTTGTGATAAAAAATATAATTTTTAAATATGTTGATGAGATGTATTTTTATTTTTGCATTTTGTAGTTATGAAATGATTGATGAATATGCAATTTTTGATTTGAAATTTGCTATCCTAAAAAAACACCACTAAAAATATAAATTACCTTCATTAGCTTAAAAAATTCATTCAGGTTGCATTGTGCATGATTTATTGTGTTCACGGTGCAAAGTGCTATTAATATTTTTTGAGGGTGCAAAAGTGCAAAAAACTATATATCAAGGGTGTAAAATGGGATTAAGTAAAAAATCTGATTATGGAATAAAGTTTTGCATTCCTATTTTTAAAATTTTGATTTTCGATTTTCTCTTAAACTGTTTGGAACGGAATTAGAACTAGTTATTTACTTCTAAAAAGATTGACATTTTTTCAAAAGTGCTAATTACGCCCAAACTTTTAACCTACTAACTTGAGAAGAGCTACTAAGGTAACCCATAGAAACAAAATAAATAAATAATGGAGGGAGTTATAGCGAAATCAAAATATTTATACTACATTATTGCATGGGTCAGTAAAATAATTGGCCCTACTCGATGGGTCAGTTAATTATCAATTATCGGCCTTAAAGATAACTTCGAAACGGAACTGATAAAACTGACCCATGTCCAACCTAGTGTTTAATGGTAGTTTGTTAAAAAAAAAATTATAGAGCTTTTTTTGTAATAAAAATATCACTTGGTGGTATTTTTAACTACTAGAGTAAATATAGGGGTGCCAATTACAATAATGAATAAACTCAATAAATAATGGCATTATTTATTTGTTTACAAGTCTTGATGTTGAAAAGTCCATTTGAGATGTTTTAGTATAAGAGTTAAGAGATGTTCCTAAATATTCAAGCCTCCTGACACTAGTAGAAAAATGGGTTTTTACTACGATCATTAACCGTAGTAAAAATGTATCAAATTCGTACTAAAAAGGTATTTGCTACGCATTTGCCCTGTAGCATATACAGGCGTGACAAAAGCTTTGCTACGGTAAATGGCCGTATCAAATACTCTTTTGCTACGGTAAATCCTAATATTTACGACGACTTCCAAATTGTTTCGTAGTAAAAAGTACCTTTTATTACGGTTTTTTACCGTAGCAAAAAAATTCGTAGTAATTAGCAAATTTTCTACTAGTGTGATTAGGATTTAGATATAAGATTATACCCATTTCAATTAATTAACCCCCACCCTACCAAATGCATGTTGTGTATGGATTTTCATCAATTAAATTTATTATCACTTTCACTGATTCTGCAGACATATATAGTATCCAAGAAAGAAATGAATTTACTCTTTATACTCCGATTCATTTCATCAATGTATCTCACCACAAATCTGGCGCTAGCAGTAACTTTGTCCAAAGACGGTTGTCCGTCAACGTGTGGAAACGTCACAATTCCGTATCCTTTCGGCATTGGTCCTTCATGCAGTGCCGATTCCAGGTTCACTATTCTTTGCCGAAATTCTACCAATCTTCCTCATAGACTAGTACCGTTCTTGGTCAACATAAGTATGGAAGCACTGAATATTTCCCTGTACGGTACGGTCACGGTGAACAATCCCGTTACACCGATGAATTGCTCTAATGTTCAAGAGAAACATGATTTGGTAAAATCACTCAAGAAAAGTCCATTTACCATCTCAGGGTATTACAATTCATTGGCCGTTTTGGGTTGTCAAAACTCGGTCTGGATCCGTGATAACACCACGGGTACAGTCGGAGGATGCATGGCCACTTGTGATGCTAATTCTAATGACACCAGATGTAATGGTGTTAACTGTTGTCAGACAACAATTCCCCCCCAACTTCAGGAGCTTAAATATATTTCTCAAGCCACTAATGGAGGAGGAGTTGGTAGTACGAGTAACGGATCATGTGGGTATGCTTTCCTTGTTGAAAGTACATGGTTTCGATATGAATATAATAGGTATAGGGGACTTCACAATGATCTGTTAAATCCATATGACAAACACTTTGAATTTGCCCCTCTGGTACTTGAGTGGCAATTCCAAACGGAATTTGGTGCAAATAGTCGTCATTGTGCCTCGATCAATGAGATTTATGGCTATCGATACAATATCCCCGACGGTGTCTTGTCTTACCTCGGATATTGCATTTGCAAAGATGGGTATGAAGGGAACCCATATCTACTTGGAGGATGCATTGACATAAATGAATGTATCGATCCAAGATCGAATCCTTGCGGTCAGCATGGTGTTTCTTGTGTAAACTTAGAAGGGAGCTACGCATGTCGCTATGGCAATTATTATGGATATGGCAACAATAGATCTCGAGTCAAAATAACATTTATCAGTGTTGGCAGCGCACTCGGTGCACTAGTTTTACTCTTCGTTGCATGGAAATCTACCAAAGTCATCAGAAAAAGAATCAAGGCTAGCCGTAAACTCAAGTTCTTCAAGCGAAACGGAGGTTTGCTATTACAACAAGAGTTGTCTTCAAGCGACAAAGGCCTAGAAAAAACCAAGTTATTCAGTTCCAAGGAGTTGGCACAAGCTACAGATCGTTACAACGAAAACCGTGTACTTGGCCGTGGTGGCCAAGGTACAGTCTACAAAGGGATGTTGACAGATGGAAGAATCGTGGCAGTCAAAAAGTCAATGAAAGTAGAAGAAGGCGATGTCGAACTTTTCATCAACGAGGTTGTTATTCTGTCGCAGATAAACCACAGAAATGTGGTCAAACTACTGGGGTGCTGTTTGGAGACCGAAGTTCCTCTTTTAGTCTACGAGTTCATTCCCAACGGCACACTCTTCCAACACGTCCACGATCCAAACGAGGAGTTCCCTTTATCTTGGGAAATGCGAGTCCGTATTGCAGGAGAGGTAGCCGGGGCGCTTTCTTACTTGCACTTTTCTGCATCTGCACCTATTTATCATAGAGATATCAAGTCGACGAATATATTATTGGATGATAAGTACCGGGCCAAAGTTGCTGATTTTGGGACATCAAGATCCATTGGCATCGACCAGACACACTTGACCACACGAGTACTAGGAACATTTGGTTATTTGGATCCAGAGTACTTCCAATCGAGCCAGTTTACGGATAAGAGCGATGTGTATAGCTTCGGTGTTGTTGTGGTGGAACTTTTGACGGGGGAGAAAGCTATATCGTCGATTAGAGCCGATGTGGGAAGGAGTTTGGCAACACATTTCTTGCACTCAATGGAGGAGAATCTTTTATTCGAAATTCTCGATGCGAGGGTTTTGAAAGAGGGGAAGAGAGAAGAAATTGTGGCGATTGCCGAACTTGCCAAGAGATGTCTGAATTTGAATGGAAAGAGAAGACCGACTATGAAAGAAGTTGCTATGGAGTTGGAAGGAATTCAAATGGTGAAAGAAGACTCAGTGGCTTACTTGCAAAATCAAGACGGCATCATCGAGCACGTATCTTCGACTCGTGATCAAGTTGCCGAGTCTTACGATTTCTCTTCCATCTCAGCGAGTATGCATTTGGTGGATGATTCGGTAACTACGTATTTAACTGCATATTTACCCAATGATGATCATCATTTGCTTAATGAGCCCTGAAGAATACATTACTTATAAACTATCCCTTATCTTGTATTTATTTGTCATCAGTTCCTAGTAATCTGTAATATATATGTATGCTATGCATCAACATTGTTTACTTTGTTTTATCGTCAAATTAAACACCTCAGCTTTTTAAGTGTGCTTTTTATGAATTAAATCATTAATTAGCCCTTTGTTTCTCATTATACTTCTTTGTGTTTAAATTCTGGTTCAAGCAGACAACATAGAGAATACATAAAATTAAGTTACATTTACCACAAACACATACTATATAATTAAGTGGGTAAATACTAAATAATGATTTATCCATCCTTTTTATGAGTTTTGTCTAGAATTTATTAAGATCAAATCTACACAATATTCAATAGAGTGTACATTACTTAATAATTGGGTTAATATGCTAGGAGCCCCTAATTTGAAACCTAATTTGAATTAAATGACAACTTTAAATCCAATATTTTAATTAAATCCTTAGATTGAAATAATATATGACCCACATCCTTAATTTTTTTTAATCCCTATCTTGCCCTTAACCCTAAAACTTATAAACACATATTCACGTTTATTTCCCAGATCTACTTTTTCTCTTTTATTCTTCTCGTTCTTTCTCTATCTCGCGTCTCGCTCCATGGCTCTCTCCATATCTCTCGTGCGAGTTATTTCTCTCAAGCTCTCTCTCTTCACCACTCCACTCCATGGTTTGAAGGGAGATGGTGGCAATGACGATGGAGGCGGTGGCGGCATGTGGGGGGTCAAGATGGAGGCGGCGGCGGCATGTGGGGGCTGCGATGGCGGTGGCTGCTCTAGAGGGGAGGCGCCGGTGATGACGCTTCTTGAGCACAAGGACGACGGCGACGCTCAGGGATGGTGTCGGTGGCGCAACAATGTTGGGGGTGGGGATGGCAACAGCAGCGTGGGATGGGTTTGTTGCATCTTTAGCGGCGTGGGTGACGTTGGCATCGTGGATCTAGGGTTTGGTGGAGGCGATTTATGGTTTGGTGGGGCAGATCTAAGATTTTTCATTTCATGTTTATAGGTGTCTATGGTGTCTGGCGGCTAGGGTTAAGGAGGAGTTAGGGTTTTAATAATATATTTGTGACTACGGATTACTATAGTTTTCTACGGGTGTCTATATGTGTCTACGGTATACTACAGCTTTCCTACGATTTTCTATAGATGACTATGCCGAAAAAAAAATTAAAAATCATAAATTTCAATATTATGTAGGAAAAAAAAGGAAAAAATAGATTATTATAATTGAGAAAAAATAAGAAAATGCAAAAACAAAATAATAAGAAAAATGTTAGATGCAAAACTTAAAAATATTAAATGCAAAATATAAATGATAAATACAGTTTAAATATTACTTGGTGCAAATTTTATTTTTTGTGTATGAAAGGCTTTTTTGAAATGAAATTTATAAAAGATGTAAAGCAAATGTTTAGTTTGACTTGTCACTTTGTTCTAGGCTAAGCTTATTTTAAACAGCTGATAAGCTCCTACGTCTGATAAGATGTTTTAAGAGCTGATAAGCTGTTACGTCTTATTTTTATGATTAATTTTTAGAGTGTTTGGATAATTATTTTATTTCCTATTTTTACTCATAATAAGATATTAAATAAAAAGGTGGGGGTAGAGGTATTTTTTTAAAAATATCTTATTTGCTCTCCAACAACTAATTTTTTAAAAAAATAAGATCTTTTCTAAAAAAATTACCAAACACTTTGGAAGAGCTTATAAGCTCTAAAACATCTTATAAGCTCTTTTTAACATCTTATAAGCTTAGCCAAACACCCTCTAAGTTTTGTTACCAGGGACCTATATCCCCTTAATAATTTAAATTTAAAAATTTAGAATTTGTAAAATTGCGCCATTGGTATATTAACACTTATAAATAAGAAACTCTTTTACAAAAAAAATCACATATGGTCCAGAGGTTTGTAAAAGACTAAAATAGCCACTCACATTTTAGAGCATGTTTGGCTAAGATTATAAGCTCCTAAAAACATCTTATAAGATGTTTAGGAGCTTATAAGTTGTTAAAAGGTGTTTGGTAAAAAAAATTGCAAAAGATCTTATTTTTTTCAAAAATAAGCTGTTAGGGAGCTTATAAGATGTTTTTAAAAAAATACCTCTACCCCACCTTTTTTCTTTAAGATCTTATTTGCTTCTTTACTAAAACACTTAAAATACAAAATTACCCTCAAATACTTTATTATATTACATGAATACTAATAATATTTATATTTCATCAAAACAACGTATTCTTGTAATTAAGATTAATAATTAGTTAAATATAATTATCGTAATTATCATAATATTTGTAAAAAAAATTATTCTCTATTTATATTTTATAGGTATATAAAAATACACGAATATTCTTATTATCTCCATAATAAATTATATTTCTTTCATCTACAAAAAAAATTATATTTCTGGGACAACTTGTATTTTATATTATTATTATTATTATTTAAAAAAAATAATTTGAAAATATTATAATAATATTTTAGGAACAAAAGTATTTGAGTCAAATAAGTTTAACAATTATACTGGCGTCATGTACTTTTTTGTCATTTTAGCAATAAATAGACCTTTTATTTCCAAACACCTGAACAACTTATATAAACAAAAAGTAACTTATAAGCTACATATCCAAACACCTTAAAAAATAATTTTTAAAATAAGATCTAACAGCTTATCAGTTCCTAAAACATCTTATCAGATGTAGGAGCTTATAAGATGTTTTAAATAAGCTTAGCCAAACGGGCTCTTAATATACTTCAATTTCATTCTTTAATTTAATATAACATTAATTTGACCCCAAATTTCACAAATTATTTAATTTTGACCCAAAACACAATTTTATGGACAATTTCTTCCGTCGCTGCCGTTGACTTTTTTTTTCACCCTGATTTTTCCGCCGGTCTCCGGCGTTGATTTTTTCGAACCCTTTTTTTTCACCCTGTTTACAGTAATATTACAATAGTAGACAGTAATATTATTACATAATTCCGTCAACAACTCAAACAAAACAAAAAACAAAAAAAAAATATTAATGTGGTTGACAATAATATTATTGTGTTTACAGTTATTTTACTCTCAACGACAGTAATATAATTACGTTGACTCGTCAACACAAAAAAAAAAAAAAAAACTGACAGGACAACTACGTTAATGTACTGTCACTAACTGTATAATTACGTTAATGTATTGCCAGTGACATGATAATTATTGTTAATGACAGTACAATTACATTCAACGTTTAGCGGCGGGCGTAAAAAAATGGATAAAAAATTTATGAGAAAAAAAAAATCACTAAAAAGATTCAACGCTAGAAACCAGTCGCAGAAAAAACAGACAAATAAAAAAGTCAACGCCATAAACCTAGAATAATAAGGATGGTTGGTCAGGGATTTATGCACAAAAAGCCCTATTATGTTTCACACTATTTACATTTATAAAAGGGAAAACTTGACAAAACTCCCCATTACACAAGTGTCATTACAATTAACCCAATTTTATTTCTTATTTTTAAGATAAATCCAAAATAACTTTTATTAATTAAAAATAATTAATTATCACATTATACCCCCACATTGTCAAGAAAGTTGTTTTTCGATAAGAATAATAATTACCGGAATAAACGGACCAATTATATTGAAGTTTCAAAATGAGACCGTACCGAAATAAGAATTCATTTCCTCTAACGAGGAAATACGATAATTTAGAAGAACGGAAATTAGGAAATTATCTTTAGTTTACATTACTAAAATAACACTAGCATAATTTATAGACCCCTCGTACGATCGTCAAAAACTCCGGGCAAGACTTCAATCCACTACTCGGTTCATTCCTGCGAAGGATTACTACTACTACCTGCAGTTAAAAAGTATCTATATGAGCTATTAGGG